TTTTATTAGTCTGGCTAGTGATCTATTTTGTTGATCTTTTTGAAAACCACCTCCTGGATTTATTGTATTTTTGAAGAATTTTTTGTGTCTCTATCTCCTTCAGTTGTGTTTTGATCTTAGTTATTTCTTGCCTTCTGCTAGCTTTTGAATTTGTTTGATCTTGCTCCTCTAGTTCTTTTAATCGTGACTTTAGACTGTCAATTTTATCTCTTTCCTGGCTTTTCTGGTGGGCATTTATTGCTATAAATTTCCCTCTAGTCACTGCTTTAAATGAGTCCCAGAGATTCTGGCATGTTGTATCTTCGTTCTCACCGTTTTCAAAGAAACCTTTATTTCAAAGAAATCTTTATTTCTTCCTTCATTTCATTATTTATCCAGTAGTCATTCAGGATCAGGTTGTTTAGTTTTCATATAGTTGTGTGGTTTTGAGTGAGTTTCTTAATCCTGAGTTCTAATTTGATTGCACTGTGGTCTGAGAGACTGTTTGTTATGATTTCCATTCTTTTGCATTTGCTGAAGAGTGTTTTACTTTCAATTATGTGGTCAATTTTAGAATAAGTACAATGTGGTGCTGAGAAGAATGTATATTCTGTGGTTTTGGGGTGCAGAGTTCTGTAGATGTCTATTAGGTCCGCTTGGTCCAGATCTGAGTTCAAGTCCTGGATATCCTTATTAATTTTCTGTCTCATTGATTTGTCTAGTATTGATAGTGGGATGTTAAAGTCTCCCACTATTATTGTGTGGGAGTCTCAGTCTCTTTGTAGGTCATTAAGAACTTGTTTTATGTATCAGGGTGCCTCTGTATTGGGTGCATATATATTTAGGATAGTTAGTTCTTTTTGTTGGATTGATCCCTTTACCAATATGTAATGCCCTTCTTTGTCTCTTTTGATCTTTGTTGGTTTAAAGTCTGTTTTATCAGAGGCTAGGATTGCAACCTCTGCTTTTTTTGCTCTCTGTCTGCTTGGTAAATTTTCTTCCATCCCTTTATTTTGAATTTATGTGTGTCTTTGCATGTGAGATGGGTTTCCTGAATATAGCACACCGATGGGTCTTGACTTTTTATCCAATTTGCTAGTCTGTGTCTTTTGATTGGGGCAGTTAGCCCATTTACACTTAAGGTTAATATTGTTTTATGTGAATTTGATCCTGCCATTTAAATGCTAGTTGGTTGTTTTGCCCATTAGTTGATGCAGTTTCTTCATAGTGTTGATGGTCTTTACAGTTTGGTACATTTTTGGAATGGCTGGTACTGGTTGTTCCTTTGTATGTTTAGTGCTACCTTCAGGAGCTCTTGTAGGGCAGGCTTGGTGGTGATGAAATCTCTCAGCAGTTGCTTGTCCATACGTGATTTTATTTCTCCTTCACTTATGAAGCTTAGTTTCGCTGGGTATGAAATTCTGGTTGAAAATTCTTATCTTCCAGGATGTTGAATATCGGCCCCCACTCTCTTCTGGTTTGTAGGGTTTCTGCTGAGGTGTCCACTGTGTCTGATAGGGCTTTCCTTTGTGGGTAGCCTGACCTTTCTCTCTGGCTGCCCTTAGCATTTTTTCCTTTGTTTCTATCCTTGTGAATCTGACAATTATATGCCTTGAGGTTGCTCTTCTTGAGGAATATCTTTGTGGTGTTCTCTGTATTTCCTAGACTTGAATACTGGCCTGCCTTACTAGGTTGGGGAAGTTCTCCTGGATAATATCCTGAAGAGTGTTTTCTGACTTGGTTTCATTCTCCCTGTCACTTTCAGGTACACTGATCAAATGTAGATTTGGCCTTTTCACATAATCCCATATTTTTTGGAGGCTTTGTTCATTTCTTCTTTTACCTCTTTTTTTTCTAATCTTGCCTTATTGCTTTATTTCACTGAGTTGATCATCAATCTTTGATATCCTTTCTACCGTTTGATTCAGCTATTGGAACTTGTGTATGTTTCATGAAGTTTTAGTGCTGTGTTTTTAGCTCCATCAAGTCATTTATGTTCTTCTCTACACTGATTATTCTAGTTAGCATTTTGGCTAACCTGTTTTCAAGGTTCTTAGTTTCCTTGCATTGGGTTAGAATATGCTCCTTTAGCTTGGAAAGTTTGCTATTACCCACCTTCTGAAGCCTGCTTCTGTCAATTTGTCAAATTTATTCTCCATCCAGTTTTGTTCCCTTGTTGGTGAGGTGTTGTGATCCATTGGAGGAGAAAAGGTGTTCTGGCTTTTGGCAATTACCGCCTTTTTGCACTGGTTCCTTCCCATCTTGGTGGATTTATCTACCTTTGGTCTTTGAAGTTGGTGACTTTTGGATGGGATTTCTGAGTGGACATCCTTTTTGTTGATGTGGAAGCTATTTCTTTCTGTTTGTTAGTTTTCCTTCTAACAGTCAGGCCCCTCTACTGCAGGTCTGCTGGAATTTGCTGGAGGTCCACTCCAGACCCTGATTGCCTGGGAATCATCTGCAGGGCTGCAGAACAGCAAAGACTGCTGCCTGTTTCTTCCTCTGGTAGGTTTGTCCCAATAGGGTATCTGCCAGATGTCAGCCAAACTCTCCTGTATGATGTGTCTCCCAGTTAGGACACATGTGGGGGGAGGGGGTCAGGGAGACACTTGAGGAGGCAGCCTGTCCCTTAATGGAGCTCAAGCACTGTGCTAGGAGATCCGTTGCTCCCTTCAGGGCTGCTGGGCAGGGACATTTAAGTCTGCTGAAGCAAAACCCACAATCGTCCCTTTTCCAAGGTGCTCTGTCCCTGGGAAAGTGGGAACTTTGTAAGTCCCTGGTGGGCTGCTGTCTTTTTTTTCAGAGATGCCCTGCCCAGCAAGAAGGGAATCTACTTGACAGTCTGCCTGCAGAGGGCTTGCTGAGCTGCCTTGTTGGGCTCTTGTTGCCTGTTGCTCTGTAACCTTCCTGTGTAAACTTCCTGGTGGATTTGTTTACACAGGCAATGTTGAAACCACCTACCCAAGCCTCAGCAATGGCAGGCACCCCTCCCTGCACCAAGCTCGAAAGTCCCAGGTCGAGCTCAAACTACTGTGCTGGCTGCCAGAATTTCAAGCCAGTGGATCTTAGCTTGCTGGTGTTTGTGGGGGTGGGACCCACCTAGCCAGCTTACTTGGCTCCCTGGTTTCAGCTTCCTTTTTCAGGGGAATGAGCTGTTTTGTCTCGCTGGCATTCCAGGCACCACTTGACTAAAACAGCCACCCAGTTTTGTGCTGGAAACCCAGGCATTGTAGGTGCCAGAGGGAATCTCCTGATCTCCAGGTTGTGTAGACTGTGGGAAAAATGCAATATCTGAGTCAGAGTGCTGGAATGTCCAGAAAAGTCCCTAATGGCTTCTCTTGCCTGGGCAAGAGTGTTCTTTGGCTCCTTGCACCTTCCAGATGAGGTGATGCCCCACCCTGCTTTGGCTTGCCCACCTTGGGCTGTTCCCACTGTCTAACCAATCACAATGAGATGAACCTGGTACCTCAGTTGGAAATGTGGAGATCATTCAACTTCTGGTGCATTCTCGCTGGAAACTGCAGACTGGAGCTGTTCCTATTTGACCATCTTGGCCAACCTTAACTTTTTTTTAAGGGAGACTAGAATTAGGTAATAATTTGAAATATTCTTTGCCAAAGTTGCAGAAAGAATAATCTGTTTTTTAATGGGATGTAAAACATTATTTTTCATTCTTTAATTTTCATGACTGTCTGTGTCTTCAAGATACCATTACTCTTTCAAGTTATGAAGGTGAAAAAACACTTAAACAAAAGCAGTTGTGAATTTTCAGAAACAAATATGCTAATTTTCATTTACCCAGAGTGCAATGCAGTGGGGCAAGGGCATACTTTTACTTCGTTTTGTAAATAACTTTCTGCACCAAAAGGACACTTTTTTGTAAGAATAATTTAATTGGGTTAAATTTCTAAGATAGTGCTAGTGCCATGTAAAACATTTGTTAGATCAAGTGACTAGCTATCAAGAGAAACTGTAAAGGTCAACTCCTTGGGTATACGAATTTAAATGTCACTTGAGCATGTGTTCCATTTGAATCTAATAAAGTTTAAGTTATGCCTTTGTAATTTAGAAAAGAAATACATTCTTGTGATTTAGTAGAGTTATCATGAAGGGGATTATATGAAGAGATTACAAATAGTGCGGAGAAAAGGCAAGAAATAAGCAGATGAATGAGCAGTTAGAAATTGTCTTGAGATTTATGTGGAGTAACAGAGCTCTGGGTGGATCAAGGAAATGTTTTGGATTTGGCTTCTCAGAAACATTTCGATATTTTAGTATCAGGCAAAGCCAATTTAACCTGGGTTTGTACGCATGAAGTAGAATATAATAAATGAGCTTCTTTTCCTACCTTCAGTGCAGTCGTGCTTACCATAAAGGGTCCACAAATTTACATTGCTGAGATCTAATCTCACCTTTCAAGCTCCTGAATTTTCTACCTTTGGAGTCACTAAAGTGTTAGTAAGAAGTAGATATTGAAATATATATTGAATTTTCTTAAAAGGACAATTAAAATGCAAAATTATCACTAAAGTGAAAGGCTAGGAGGTTTTGGCAACCAAGAAAAACAGAGTTTACAGTCTAAGATGAGTATACAAAACCATTTATGTTTATTTTGTAGATGAAAATGTAGAGTATTATTTCAATATTTGAGTTTTTTTTGATATACAGAAACCATATTGGCTGAGGAAAATAAAAAAGTAAGTACATATGAGAGTTTAAATAGCTGATAAGATTTAAAATAACTGTTTACAACCAAAAGAATGTGTGTGAAGGCCATTATGAATCACAAATATGAAGCTTCTTCCAATGTCAGTGTTCTAGGATGTAATATTCTTTTTTTTTTTTTTGATGAAGTCTTACTCTGTCACCCAGGCTGGAGTACAGTGGTGTGATCTTGGCTCACTGCAGCCTCTCCCTCCTGGGTTCAAGCAATTATCCTGCCGCAGCCTCCCAAGTAGGTGGAATTGCAGGTGTGTGCTACCACACCTAGCTAATTTTTGTATTTTTAGTAGAGATGGGCATTCACCATGTTGGCCAGGCTGGCCTTGAACTCTCGACCTCGTGATCCACCTGCCTCAGCCTCCCAAAGTGCTGGGATTACAGGTGTGAGCCACTGTTCCTGGCCAGGATATAATATTCTTAAGATGTTCTTCCAACTCAAATAATAGGCTTTAGGTCATCGTTCATGTGTTTATGTAATTAAAAAATATAAGCTTATAGTTTAATTAAACCTAGTTTTTAAAATAAATGAACAAATCATTAAAAAAATCACTAAAAAATAAACTTTTATTTTCTATATTTCCCTTTTTCTCTATATATTTATATATCTTTTACTGTGATAAGAGCACCTAACATGAAATATATCCTCTTAACAAACTTTTAAGTATACAATACTGTATTGTTAACTATAGACAACAGTGTTGTACAACAGATCTCTAGAACGTATTTCTCTTGCACAGCTGAAGCTTTTTGCTTGAAAATGGTACAGCAGGATATTATAGCAAATTAAGAACATGGGTTGTGAAATCAGACTGCCTGGGTTTGAACCTTCGTTCTGATGTTTACTAGCTGACGAACTGAGCAAGTTACATAACCTCAACTCAGTTTTTAATTCAGCAAAGCAGGGATAATCGTGGTACATACCTTGCAGGGCAGTTGTAAGTAAAAAATGCATTGATATGGGTAAAGCACTTAAAATAGAACATAGTACATCATTTGATTTTATTAAATGTTAGATACTACCACTTAAATACATAATTTTCAACCTCAAGGAATTTATAATTCCACAAAGTGATAACTCCACTTTGGGAGACAGTACTAACACATATGGAGAAATTGGTGAAAACATTAAGTACTATTCTGAGTGATAGAGGTTATAAATACATAAGACATAAAAAAAACCAAATTTATGGTGGACTTGCAAATAATTGAAGGTTTTATGGTATGTTGCTGTATGGGAGGAAGTGGGACTATGACTAGAAATGATAACATGGGCAAAATCCTGGAAGAAATAAACCACAAGATTCTTTGATGTGGAGTAGGATTTAACTATGGCCATATTTTGTTTAAATTCTTTCAAAACTGAGAATCCATGTAGTAAGTATTACTCAGTAATTTTAATAATACCACCTCTAAATACTTTAAAATTATATCTTGTTATATATATATATTTTTCTGAGCAGAGAACATGCTTTATTGAGGGCTAGATATAGAAGAGCACATTCTACCACGTGGCGGAGGGTTTAGCTTCTTTAAAAGGCCTTTACCCCTTAAGAAAACTCCCAGTGAAGTTGCTTTTGGATAAATTTTAACAGTGACACTGAAACTGGAGGGGAGCTGCCACTGAACATGCTTAAAATTAGCTCTCACAACCCACAGTGAATATAAGTAGTATACAGAGATGACAAGAGAAAGGCACAAATGACCAGAATCAGGGATTGTGGTGAGGGCTCCACATGAAAACAGCATGTTGCAGGAGACCAAGTTGGGAAGGGTGACATGTCATACATCAAAAGTTGCCCCAAGATAGCAGGTTATAATGGGCTAGAGAGAAATTAGAGGAAACATCTCTTCCTCCACTTGAACAACACCAAAAATAGAAGACCAGACAAAAGAAGGATGGTACGAATCCCAAAAAGGAAATGGAGGAGGAATTCATGGAAGGGCAGAAGCACTTTAATCCTAGAGGGAGGGTGAGGCACCATTGAAAAGAGAAGCAAACCTTGGCAGGGGCGGGCATTCTGCCTTGCTGTCATGGGCTGAAATACAGAAGGCACTTTCAATCATTTTCAACTTCTCCCAGGGCATTCAGACAAAACCAGTGCAATTTATATGGAAGGACAGATGTACATCGGGACTGGTACAGGTGAAAAAGTTTCTGCAGTATAATTAACCAGTTAGCATGTAGCAGGAAAGGGTGAACTGGATATGACTTTGGCACCTGCAAATGTACAAAGGGACTGGGAGTAAAGAGAGAAGGAAACATTTACTGGTGGGTCCTTTCTGGTGAGGCAAAAAGAAGTATCCATTCCCTTCTCCCAAGACACTGCCCACTGCCCACAGGTGAACTCAAGCACAGAACCACCACTTCATTTTTCTCTCCATCTCATTCCGATAAATTATATGCTGTTACCATGACTAGTCCCTGGGAAGCTCTTCAAAAGTATTTGGCTCTGGTTAGCCCAATACTGATCAAAAAGAGGTCTCTCAATCAAAATGAAGGAAAGAAATTTAAAGCAAGATATAGCCCAAAGTGAATGGACCCCCTCCTAATCCACACACACTCACAAGTGCCACCTCTTCCCTGCCCCTCCATAGAACATATGTATTAGGAGTAACTGGAAAGGTCCTGGTGGTGGCAGCCATATTTGGAGGGCTGGTGACAGGTGGCAAGCACTAGTACCATGCTTAGAAGACACAGAACAACCTCATGGGGCGAGAGGACATGAGGAGAGAACCAGTGGCTGGACACGTACAGTACCATAACAAAACTCCTTAGGTCAGTGCTGAGAGATCTGCACTCAAGTCTAATACAGATCCCATCCAGGCAACCTCACTGAGGCTGAAACAACAGTTCCTTAGAACCAGCGTCTGCAGTGTACATGAAGGTCAGAGCCAGGACAGTCCTGAGGGGGATGGCCTTCCTAAACGGTACTTGCCAATCACAAGAGCAACAGAAATGACAGACAGATCCCTAGGGTACGGATTCCTACTGCTGGGGTTCGCTGGCTCAGAATGACAGGTCACTTTAAGTGCCCTTGGGAGGGGTCCGTTTTAAGCAGCTGGGATCCATTGTTTTATTGGAGTTGGACCTTTTGGCCTCTTTGGCTATCCACTCATCAATCAGGTCCTGTCTCTTTAAAACTAGGTGTTTTCCCTTCCAGTACTTGAGCATCTGAAGGGCTTGCAGAGTACCGACAATGTCCATGGGATTCACAGCCGTCTCCTGACTGATTTCTTTGATAGAAATCTCTTTGCCTTGGAAATTATGCAGGTAGCGGAGAAGTACTTCTTTCCAGTAACTGTGATGGCTTATAAGCCCCAGATCTGAGAGTGGACGTTCTGGGGAGCCAACTTTTTCTTCGACTTTGGAAAGCAAATAACTGAAATCAATGAGCATCTTGCCATAGCCCTGTCTCATGTACTGAGGCATGGTAAGGATACAAGACACGTTGTAGTTGAGGAATGAATTCTTTTCCTTGGAACAATACCCAATCAGGTGACAGCCAGTGTTGTCCGCCTCTGTCATAACATAGAACAGGAAGGGTTCCACATTGTAATATAATGTCTTGTGGTCCAGAAAAAGTTTGGCCAACAGGCACAGGTATTGGCAGTAGATCTTGTTTTTCTTGCCATCCACTTCAAACATGGAGATTGAACCTTTGCAATATATCTCATCACCAGGTGGGTGTTTCCACACACACTTGGCCATGTGCTGGTGGAGTATCGTTTGGCTTTTCATATATTTTAAACAGGATTCACACATATAGAGACGTCCCAGCCATGCATATTCTTCAGGATAGGGAGAATGGTACCAGGTATCAAGCTCATAGCAGCCAAAAGCAATTGTTTTAATCATGTTGCTTCTCTCTGTGATTTGGCCTTGCAGCCTTAGCTTCTTCAAATCCTCTGAAGCCCAGGCTTGTGCTCTTTGGAAAATATCCAACTGATACTCGCTTGTCAGGTTTTCTGTGAGAAGTGCCTGTGTGTTCCCATACGTCTGTCTGTGTTCCATCTATTTCTCTTTCTGTTCTTTGCTCAGTCCAGAATTGCTTTTCCTCCTGAGTTCAGCCACTTTTTCCTTATATTGAAGCTGCTTCTCTGTTGGTGCCTGGTGCCTGGTTGCAGGCCTGTTGTCATCTTGCCTGTGAGACAGCATCCTTTCTTCTATCTGCTTATCCCGGCTCTGTGCTCTCATCTTGCATTCGTCAGCTGAGAGGTTATCATAGAGAGGGCCTCGTAAGATGGAGAAATGTCTCTCATGTTTTCCTGTAAGGTATCCTAGATGGTTATAGCCTGGTGTCAGACATTTCATATTGAAGTTGTAGCTTTCGTGAAAGTGACGGCGCTTGGGGCAATGAGAGGGATCACTGCCTGAGTCCTTCAGGAACGTGTCCTTGGCAATGCTCTCATCGTGAGACACTTTGGGGCTGGAAATGTCTATGTCAGACTCAGAAGAAGGATCCTTTCCAGTTCGAGGTGGTGACTCATCATGATCAGCTGTATTTTTCGTTTCTCTATGTGAAAAACCAACCACTTGCTCAGTTTCTGAGCCAGATGAACAAGTCTGCTGAAGAGGGTATTTTTTCAGTGTCACTGGAGTAGGCTGCTGCTGACTACGGGTCACTCTTCTGGTAGAATAAGCAGGCTCTTCGGTGCCAAAAGACTGCAAATTTCGAAGAGGGCTGGAATCTTGAGAACTCTGGCTTAGCCTGGCTGAGGAGCGAGTAACTTGAGCACATTGTCGGGATGTGCCATCACTTTCTGAACTGTCTGTGTGCTTGAGATCTGTAGAAAAACCGGAATCTTTGGGTCCATCTGAACTACTGCCTGCATTCCTCTTCCTTTAAGGCATTGCTGGCAGTTGCGGCCCGACGGTTCTGATTGATTTGGGCAGCGGCGGCAGCAGCAGCAGGAACTGTGGCTCCGGCGGGCTTCGTGGCGACCTCTGCAGCAGTCCTAATCCTGCAGACGATCCCTAGTGCCTCCTGTCTCTCAGCGTCTGAAGCGTTCTGCCCTTGTGATATATTTTTAAAAACGTTAACATACCTGATCTAATTTGAGTTTCACAAATGCCCTATAAAAATGCAGGGCAAGTATTATTACCATTTTACAAATGAGGAAGCTGAGGATTAGAGTTTATGTCATTTGCTTAAAGTTACATAACTAGTAGGCAATAGAGACCAGGTTAGCATCCAGGTCTTCTGGATTTCAATCTAGTGCTCTTCTACCATATCGTGCTGCTAGCTGAATAGCAGAAGGATTAGTAAATGAAAAATGAGGATTGAATTTTGTAATAAATGTTATGTTTGATCTTTGTCTCCGGCAAGGGAAAAATAGTATAGGATAAGAGGATAGGTATGGTCAGGTCACAGGTAAATTAAAAATAAATGAGCACAAGCTATTACTATGCCTTAGAGGTTTTTTGTCTTTATGTTTTGTAATTTTTTTTCCCAAGGGACTACAACATTAGAAATGAAATAGAAATAATGTACAAATGGCAGATTCAGATAGAAATTTTTCCCAAAACTTTCCTTTTTCTTTATAGTTATCATTTATTTCCTCTGAAGTAATGTACCTTTTAAAACACAAAGTTAAAGTACACACTACACTTCAGCAAAAGCTTGTCCATGAATATTATATTTGAGCCTAGATGAGTTATTGTGTCTGTTTTAAGATCAAAGTGTCCACTGTAATATAAAACTCACTGTAAACATATCAATGATATTCTTCTCAACATACCAACAAAAAGTAATTAAATAATAATAAAACTTACAGTGAACTTTCAACCATAATGTATATCAGAGTAAAGTCTCTTACATATAGTTGTATACATATACATAAATGTATGTACTTCTTAAAAGAATTTGTAACATGAACGTTCAAAATTTTCTTCATAAATCCTTTGTAGTTTATTTTGTATTTATCTCCTGTTCTCATCTGATGGCATGCATGCAAAGGAATATGTTAGAATGATTGAGAACTATTGGCAATTTTATATCTTTTTAAAAATTTTATAACTGTTAGCTTACATATAATTTACATGAACGAATTTTATATATTTTATCCTTTGTAAAGCTTTTATTTGAAAATACAAACCTTAATATGAGACATATTTTATAGTGCAAAGATACAAATACTCTTCAAATTCTGGTGAATGGTCAAAATTATCTATAATTTAGTTCTTAGTCATGGTCTGAATTTTTAGCATTTAAAATATCTACAAATATCTAGTAATGTGAATGCATAAATGAGATAGATTTGTAGGCATATATAGTTAAGTATTCATGAAATATTAATACAAAATTGTATTTTATTTAAATGATTTGAGAAAGTACTCATTTGGGAAACTGTTCTCATTGGTTTGGACTGGAAATAGGTTTAAACTATACTTTACATATTTCTTCTCCTTTTTCTGGCAAAGAGGCTTTCTTCCTGGGCAAAGTCATGCTGGACAAGGAATGCTTTCTAAATGTAGACAGTCTTCTCCTAAAGTTACCCCCAGAAAAGAAATATAGGAGCGGATCAAAGCAACAATTTGATGCAGCCAGAGACAAGGTTATGACAACTGACTTCTGCATTCTAAGGACAGAATCACAGGGTTTAGTTTCATTGTGTAAAAAATGAAGGTGAATGGTACGCTGAATATGATATGGCATGAAACTGACTAAAAAGGCAGCTGTCACGACCATGATCATTCCTATAGCCTTTTTATGACTTGACAGATTTTTCTTCATTGATTTTTTTAGTAAGGTCAAAATGATCATTGTGTAACAGACAATTATAATAACAAAAGGGATGATAAAGCCAAGAAACAATGACACATAATGCAAGATCAAAACATGATTTTTAGTTTGATTGTCTTGTGGGGGCTCAAAGCACTTGGTATTATTTTTCTCATCTTTGTGTGACTTGGTTATTAAAAATGGAGAACTGGCCAAAATCACAAAAATCCAAATACCAACACACACAAACCTGGCTTTTTTCTGTGTAACCAAATGAATGTTCCTGACTGGGAAAACAATTGCAATGCACCGGAAAAAGCTCATGGCTGTCATAAAGAAGATGCTACAATAGAGGTTGACATACAAAGCATAGGTGCTGAGGCGGCACAAAAAGTCACCGAAGAACCAAATTCCTTTGTGAACATAATAGACCACACGGAGAGGCAGTGTGCACACACAGAGTAGATCTGCTATTGCTAAATTAATCATGTATACTTGGAAGGCTGACTTCTCATGATAGGTTTTTATGAGGACATAGAGCACAAAGCCATTGCCAAAGAAGCCTACAACAGAGATCATAGAGTACAAGGTGGAATACACTTGATTGCGGAATTCATCAATAGTGTCATGGCATGTGGCAGAAGATGCTGTCAGGTTTCCGGTTCCATCCATGTTTCTCTAGGAATGTCTGCTTTTTGCCTACAATATATAAAAAAAATTGTCAATTTTAACCAGACCATAAATTACAGGAAGTACTAATGTTTCATTTCATAGTGTCACTATGTAAGTTTTTGACCACAGCAGGAAGTGAGTGTAGTGAGGCAATGAGGAGGGATTCAGCTCTACCTTTTCCTCAGGAGAAGAGTTTTTGTCCTACAGGCATCCAGGAAGCCCTTTTTTCCTCCTTTCCTATCCATGTTTTTCTGATGGTCTTCCTCTAAATCTTCAAGACCTAGGTAAAACAGCCCTCTTGTATTTTAAATCATACTACTCTAGTACAATTTGGTATATTTTCCTTTCAAATGAGCTTGTTTTTCTATTAGAGAAAAGCTTTAAGATAGCAGTTTCACATGTATGAATATATCTGTGTCTATATCTATCTATCTATTGGAAAATCTCTGAATTATTTTAGAGAATAAAATCTGACTGAAAATACTTGGTTCCTTCAAGAAGAGGGCTTTCTTGGTAACATCTGTTGAGTGCTGCCCATACCTATGGAAATAATCTAATTTGCTGTTGATGAAGCTCCCTTCCCTGGGGAAGATGATTAATCTACAACATGGTTGACTCTATCTATAACTGCAGAACGCCATGGCTAGAGAAATCTTAGAAGCCACCTAGTTATTTTAATGATGGCAAAAATGTTTCAGAGTGATAAAGGACATTTCTAAAATCTGTACCATTAAGGCTCTGAAGAAAGATGTAGTACAACTAGTTGGAATATACTTGTTGGGTAAGAAATATGTTGTAGCCGTTCATTTTTGTTCTCTTTCTAGACTTTCTAGACTTCTACTGTTTAGCAATATACAGTTATTTCTCTTATAAGAAGAATATCTCTTATAGTTTATACATGCTCTAGTCTATTTCAGCTCTGTCACTGAGGGCAGTCAACAAGTTCTGATCAGAGAGGGCTTGAGGTGAGATACTGTATTGTAGGAGTAGTGATTTCTTTCTTTTTTTCTCTATATTATTCTCTTTAATTCTTTATAAAGGTTGAAGGAACTCAATATATATCAGACAATCTTCTATTGAAAGTCTGATGTTGACCTTTTACACAACTCCTGCTCCCTGGTGAGAGAGGTGTTGGGGTTTGTAAGGTGGGAATACTACTTGAGTATACAAAAACTGCCAGCCATGAAGGGGACTGATCTTTACTAAGGATACAGAAACAGATAGCTATGGTAGTTGTGGCAGGTGAGATGTAACTTCCCAAATTTACTACTGCTAACAATTATAGTTGCTATTGAGGATGTAGCATCCATCCAACTAACCATCCCAGCTAGTTGTTCCATTTTTTTTCCTTTCATTAAAAAATTTTATTATTATTATTATTTACCAAGAAATTTGGTATAAGATAAAAATTGGATGGATTTTCTGAGCCAAGATGGCCAACTAGATGCAGGCAGAAAGAACTTCCACCAAAAGACCAGACCGTGATGAAGATTGGGACACTCCAAATTGATCCTTGGAAAAAAGGCATTGAAAGTGGACAGATGGAGGATGCAGACCCTGGGCTGAAATGGGAGGAAGGTGAGAATACTGCACAGGCATACCCAGTGCTAGGACTAATTCCTGGCCCAGAGCAGCTCCTGGGGAAGAGATGAGTGAAATAGGCTTGGAGTAGAAAAGGACATTTGGGCCACGGGCATTTGGAATCTTAGCTACAGGAAACCCCATGACCCCCATGGACATTTGAGCTGGCAGGAAGAACTGCTCAGAGAGCTGGCAGAGACAGAAATCCAGCCTTTACAGAGTCCAGAGTGTTTGGCACCAGAATGGCTATAGTGGAACATGGTCATGGTTACACATATCTCAAGGATCACCATACTCCTCTAGGTGGCTTCATCTTTTGTTGGCTGCCAGAACTGGACAGAGCAGGACTATCTTGCTCATAGGATAGGGCTAGCCTGATCTGAGGACCCCCTTGTCTACAGGACTCTCGCAGGGTCCCTGTCTGGCCAGACCTGCTTGGAGCACAGCTTCAGCTGCCCAGCCAAATAACTTGCTAGCAGCTACCACCATGGTTCTTTCACCATAGTTCTTTCCCTGCATAATAGTCAGAGAGCTTTTGTAGGTGGACTGCCACTAGCATACAATTGCCTGCAGCCTCTCCCCACCACTTTACCAGCACATGTGCACAGACCCCACTGCCACCCCACCATCACCCCCTGAAGTGCTTTTGCTGGCAGTCCCTATTGACGTATTGTTGTCAGTAGACTGGGAACACCTTGGTTCCTCCAGAACAGCAGGTTCTTAATCTTGAGGGACCAGAGAAAAAAAATGTGGGCCTGGTCCCAGCCCACCAAAGATAAGCACACAGCTCAGGAGGACTGAGTTGAACCTTGGACCCCTGAAATTATCCAGAAACAAAGTCAATTGACTAAACTTAAGTTACACCAGTCAAACCATCAAGGGCATCAAAGAATATAAAAGCAAAAACCCGTATGCAAAGGACAGCAACTTCAAACCTTAAAGGAACATCAGTCCATATAAACAAGGAAGAACCAGTGGGAGAGCTCTGACAACTCTAAAATCCAGAGTATCTTCTTATCTCCAAATAATCAAACTAGCTCTCTAGGAATGATTCTTAACCAGATTGAAAGAGTTGAAATGACAGACATAGAATTCAAAATCTGTATGGCAACAAAGTTCATTGAAATTCAGGAGTAAGTTGAAACCCAATTCAAAGAAGCTCATGAATCCAATAAAATGATACAAGAGCTGAAAGATAAAATAGCCATTTTGAGGAAGAACCAAACTGATCTTCTAGAGCTGAATAACTTTCTTCAAGACTTTAATAGTACAAATGGAAATATTAACAGGAGAATAGACCAATGTGAGGAAAGAATCCCAGAGCTCAAAGACCAATTCTCAGAA